TCCTGCTTCTTGGCAGAATGGGGTTGGACTGGATGGCCCATGAGGTCTCTTCCAACTCTTTGATTCTTTGATTCTATGATTCTAAGTCTATTTTTAATAGCAACTCTCAAGCAACAAGAAAGTACATTTATCCAGCAACTACCAATCCCTATGGGTGACCCTTTCCTGCAGATTCTACTATTTTACAACTTGAATTCATTTCGATGGTTTCTCACAAAGATTTGGCACAGATTTGACAAAAGAAGGCAAAAAAGGCAACTTGAAAAGTGTATCCTCACAACTTCTGAGGATGCCTGCCATAGATGTGGGCGAAACATCAGGAGAGAATGCTTCTGGAACATGGCCAGACAGCCCAGAAAATTCACAGCAACCCAGTCATTCCAGACACAAAAGCCTTCAACAACATACTATATCTTCCTTTCCAATAATTCCGTGAAGCTGAAAAACATACGAACAATCATGGTATCTTAGATGGAAAAAGAATAGCAAGCACTCCATACTCTGAGGATTTAACTTTGGCCTTTTTCCCTTGACTTTATGTCCAGACTGTGGACCTAGTTATGTCTTTCTTGGTGGTCAGTGTTTCATTTCTGAGGGATTTTGCAATAAAAACCTGATTCCAGTGCATTGCAACATCCAGTCTTGCTGCCAAAGGACTGGGACCACATTCCTGACTCCTTTGTTGAGCGAATGTAGCAACAGAGTGGTTTTCCAGATATGGATAAATATATATTTATCGTTACATAACCACCCCTCCTCTGGGATCATATGTCTGGAATTGGGCAACTGCAACTGCCGTGAGTATGAACAGAGACGCTACAAAGGCCAGAAATAATTTGGGGACATTGCAGGCTCAGCGACTCATTGCAGGCTCAGGAAAGGAGATTCCACCTGAACATTCGGAAGAACTTCCTGACTCTCAGAACTGTTCAGTAGTGGAACTCCCTGCCTTGGAGTTCGGTAGAGACTCCTTCCTTGGAGGCTTTGAAACAGAGGCTGCATGGCCATCTGTCGGGAGTGCTTTGATTGTGCTTTTCTTGCAGGAAGGCAGAAAGGGGTTGGACTGTGTGGCCCTTGGGGTCTTTTCTGTCTCTAGGATTCTATGATTTTTTGGGAAATGTATGCATTCTGTAGAATTTTTGGCATCACTTGTGATTTGTAATAAGAGCTAGCATTTGAATTAAAAATCACCTCTCAACAAAAGTTTGCTCTAGGCACTGTCAAGCCATTATATGCTAATCAAGGTGGTCAGTTGAAACATTCCCACCTAGCTCCAGCAGACAAGAGTCCTTTGTCCCACCCTGGTCATTCCACAGATATACAAACCCTTTTTTTCCTAGTTCCAACAGACCTCACTACCTCTGAGGATGCTTGCCATAGATGCAGGCAAAACGTCAGGAGAGAATGCCTCTAGACCATGGCCATATAGCCCGAAAAAACCTACAACAACCCAGTGATTCCGGCCATGAAAGCCTTCGACAATACAAATGGCTATTTGAGCAAGTGTTTACAAATGCAGAGTAATGGATATAGGTAACTGATACAGGAAATCTGACAACTCAGCGATGGAACTGGGCAATGCTTGATAATAAGGAGACGATAATGATGTTGTCTTTATTGTCTTTGTTGTGTTTTATGCTGTTTTAATGTTTTAATCTGTGTTATGATATTATGTATACTGTTTTGTTGGAAACCACCTTGAGTCACCGATAGGCTGAGAAAGGCGGTATACAAATACAGTAAACAAATAAATAAGCTTTTGTATTGTCGAAGGCTTTCATGGCCAGAATCACTGGGTTGTGGTAGGTTTTTTCGGGCTATATGGCCATGGTCTAGAGGCATTCTCTCCTGACGTTTCGCCTGCATCTATGGCAAGCATCCTCAGAGGATGCTTGCCATAGATGCAGGCGAAACGTCAGGAGAGAATGCCTCTAGACCATGGCCATATAGCTCGAAAAAACTTACAACAACCCAAATAAGCTTTTTCTCTGCAAAGAGATGGTGCTAATGTTTGTGCACTGACTACTTCATCACAATAGAGAATGAACCTACTTTAAATCTGGGCGTCACCACACTAGAGTGGTTGTTAAAGGCTTCTCCCTAAACTACAAACCCCAGAATTCTGCAGGAGGCAGAAACTAAATTTAAATTGGATTCATTCTCTAGTGTGGTGATGCCCAGAGTCACATCTTGGCCAAAAAAGGAAATGCTGGTTTTTTTTTTCCCAAGGCAAAACAACTACACATTGATTTTGTGCAGAATAAGCCTTGAACTGCGCATAATCTTCAGAAAACCGCAATTCTCCATAGATTGCTTTGCAGCAGGAAGAAAATAATGGCTCCCTTGTTGGGTCCAAAGTGAACATTTGATCAAATACAGAAGACTCTCAGGCCCTTTCTACACTACCATATACAATCCAGATTATCTGCTTTAAACTGGATTATATGGCAGTGTAGAAGAGGCCTCAAATAATCAGAACTGAAGCAACTACCCTCTTCTCATCAAAGAAATAATATTTGAGATAAAAATCAGGGCATGACCAGATCCAAAGACGTGCAGGCAGGCCTGGAAAGCATGCGCAACTGCCAGTATCTAGAGCAGTGGTTCCTAACCTGTGGGCTGTGGACTACCAGTGGGCTGTGAGGACAAAAATCTGGTCAGTGAGCCTCCTTCCTCTTTATTTAATTATATTATTTATTTTATTTCTGCTCCTTTCGCGCCGCTTGCTACTCCTTCCCTGTCGCTAACCGTGGCATATGTTCTGTATCGGAAACTAGAGCTGATGTGGTCCATCCAATGCAATTTTCTGAGTCAGCACCCCAAACAAATCTAAAGTTGACCAGGAACAGATTTGTAACCCTTTTGGTAGTAATTTTGGAGAGTGGTCCCTGGTCAAATAGACCCTGATCAAGTGGTCCCTGGTCATAGTGGTCCTTGGTCAAAGTGGTTCTTGGTCAACGTGGTCCCTGCTTTAAAAAAAAGGTTGGGAACTATTGCTCTAGAGCAGTGTTTCTCAACCTGGGGGTCTGGACCCTTGGAGGGGTCACGAAGGGGTGTCAGAGGGGCCACCAAAGACCATCAGAAAACACAGTATTTCCTGTTGGTCATGGGGTTTCTGTGTGGGAAGTTTGGCCCAATTTTATCATTGTTGGGGTTCAGAACACTCCTTGATTGTAGGTGAACTATAAATTCTAGCAAGTACAACTCCCAAATCTCAAGGTCTATTTTCCCAAAACCCCACAAATGTTTACATTTGGCATATGGAGTATCCGTGCCAAGTTTGGTCCAGATCCATCATTGTTGGAGTCTAGAGTGCTCTCTGGATGTAGGCAAACTTCAACTCCCAAACTCAAGGTCAATGCCCACCAAACCCTTCCAATATTTTCTGTTGGTCAGGGGAGTTCTGTGTGCCAAGTTTGGTTCAATTCCATTGTTGGTGGAGTTCAGAATGCTCTTTGTTTACAGGTTAACTATAAATCCCAGCAACTACAACTCCCAAATGGCAAAATCAATCCCCCCGCCAACCCCACTAGTATTCAAATTTGGGCATACCGGGTATTTGTGCCAAATTTGCTCCATTGAATGAAAATACATCCTGCAGATCATTATTTACATGGTGATTCATAATGTTAGGGTTATGGTTGGGGGTCACCACAACATGAGGAACTGTATTAAGGGGTCTCAGCATTAGGAAGGTTGAGAACCACTGCTCTAGAGTAAGAGACGCTCAGCTGCAGGCATGCTCCACGCCTGCCTGCCTGCATGCTCCATCACACATACCCTGCACATTCTCTGGTGGGACGTGCAGGCAGGCCTGGAACATGCCTACATCTGAGCTTTGGGCCTGCCTACCTGCATGCCCTGCCACACATCCACTTTCTTTCCAAGGCAAGGAGGCAAGTTTGGATGATTTTTGCGTGGGATCAGATTGTCATGTGAAGAGGGGGCTTCCTATTTTGTGCTTCTGAAGAAATGGAAGACATGAAAGAAAACTCAACTTTGGCAGGAAAAACAAAATGCAAAGATACAGAATGGGGTATGCCTGGCTTGAGAGCAGGACGTGTGAAAAAGATCTTGGGGTCCTCGTGGACAGGAAGTTAAACATGAGCCAACAATGTGATGTGCCAATGGGATTTTGGCCTGCATCAATAGGAGCCTAGTGTCTAGATCTAGGGAAGTCATGCTCCCCATGCTCTATTCCGCTTTGGTTAGACCACACCTGGAATATTGTGTCCAATTCTGGGCACCACAATTGAAGAGAGATATTGACTCTAAGCTGGAATGTGTGCAGAGGAGGGCGACTAAAATGATCTGGAGAACAAGCCCTATGAGGAGCGGCTTAAGGAGCTGGGCATGTTGGATGAGAGGATGAGAGGAGATATGATAGCCATGTATAAATATGTGGGAGGAAGCCACAGGGAGGAGGGAGAAAGCTTGTTTTCTGCTTCCTTGGAGACTATGACATGGAACAATGGCTTCAAACTACAAGAGAGGAGATTCCATCTGAACATGAGGAAGAACTTCCTGACTGTGAGAGCCGTTCAGCAGTGGAACTCTCTGCCCCGGAGTGTGGTGGAGGCTCCTTCTTTGGAAGCTTTTAAACAGAGGCTGGATTGCCATCTGTCAGGGGTGCTTTGAATGCAATATTCCTGCTTCTTGGCAGGGGGTTGGACTGGATGGCCCATGAGGTCTCTTCCAACTCTTTGATTCTATGATTCTATGAAATGGTAGAAACAGTAGGAACGATTTTCTTGCACATGTCTAATAACTGGATCCAAAGTCTGGACAGAATGTTTAGAGTTTAGTTCTTAGAATAAGGTGCACCCCTTACTATTTTCAAACCTAAGAGGCCTGCCATTGATTCATTACATATATCATGGTCATTTGGCCATTCAAGAGTTACTTAAATATAACTCTCTCTATATATATTACACAACAGCCCCTTGCCTGGGATCATGTGTCTCAAACTAGGCAATTGCAAAGGAGGCGGATATAATTTAAGGCACTGCAGCAACCAGATCTCATTTGAGTACGTTGCAGGCTCAGAGGCACCATGGGGGAGAAGCTCAGAGAAGGTCTAAAGCAGAATTTCGTTGCCAAGGATTACTTAACGACATACGTGTCTGTTGGGTCTGGTGGCCCTCCAACCTGTGGTACGATCTACGCTTCTGCTGTGGACAAGCTTCACAAGACATTCAGTAAAGGTGAGTCTCTCCATATTGGTGGACTATTCCCCCCAGATTTGACTCAGTGTGTTCTTTGCAACCCCAAGGCGACCTTACCTTGGGGATTTCTGGATCTGAGATTACGTGACTCACCTAAGGTCACTCAATGGATTTCCGTGGATCAGCAGGGAATCAGGTCCTGGTCCCCAGAGTCCTAGTCCAAGCAACAAGCTCTTACATCACTCTGGCTCTTAATTCCTTCACCAAGGAAGGAAAGGTGGTTTATTAATTACTGTGTCAGGAGCAACCAGATATTTGTATTACATTTTTAACAAAACAAACAAACAAAAACACAAAGTTTGCAAGCTTGGTAGTTGATGAGATGTCCTTTGAGCAGTATCTGTCCCCTTGGAGTGCCTCTGGTGTTGCCAAGGAGGTCCTCCATTGTGCATGTGGCAGGGCTCAGGTTGCATTGCAGCAGGTGGTCAGTGGTTTGCTCTTCTCCACACTCGCATGTCGTGGATTCCACTTTGTGGCCCCATTTCTTGAGGTTGGCTCTGCATCTCGTGGTGCCAGAGAGCAGTCTGTTCAGCGCCTTCCAAGTCGCCCAGTCTTCTGTGTGCCCAGGGGGGAGTCTCTCATTTGGTATCAGCCATTGGTTGAGGTTCTGGGTTTGAGCCTGCCACTTTTGGACTCTCGCTTGCTGAGGTGTTCCAGCGAGTGTCTCTGTAGATCTAGAAAACTATTTCTTGATTTAAGTCGTTGACGTGCTGGCTGATACCCAAACAAGGGATGTGCTGGAGATGTCTCTGCCTTGGTCCTTTCTCTATTGGCTGCTACTTCCCGGCGGATGTCAGGTGGTGCAATACCGGCTAAGCAGTGTAATTTCTCCAGTGGTGTAGGGCGCAGACACCCCGTGATAATGCGGCATGTCTCATTAAGAGCCACATCCACTGTTTTAATGTGGTGAGATGTGTTCCACACTGGGCATGCGTACTCAGCAGCAGAGTAGCATAGCGCAAGGGCAGATGTCTTCACTGTGTCTGGTTGTGATCCCCAGGTTGTGCCAGTCAGCTTTCGTATGATATTGTTTCTAGCACCCACTTTTTGCTTGATGTTCAGGCAGTGCTTGTTGTAGGTCAGAGCATGGCCCAGAGTGACTCCCAGGTATTTGGGTGCGCTGCAAGGAAAGGTGGTGAAATTGGCTGAAGAGTGGTAGAGATTCAACAGTGGAAGGTAGGAGATAGGCTTAATATCCCCCAGATGGTGCTCACCTTCCAGATGGGATGGACAGGTAGAACTGTCTCCCTCAATCAGGCATGAATCCCAATCTGAGGGAAAGTTGGGATATAAAGAAGCTCATTGATGGATGGAAGATACCCCTTGGGGAGGGCTCTCATGAATTTGGTACAAGGCAAGAGCATGAAGCTCATTTGAATGCCAAATAGACATAGTCAAAAGAGCACTGACCAAGGGATAGATGGAGGACTTGGGGAGGGAAAAGGGTACCAGCAACAAGACACAGGGAGAATGTTATGGTTTCTTTGAAATCCAGGTGGCATCCGAGGGGACACCCTGATTGACATTGGAAGTGGGCCTACCATCTACCAGCATGTGTCCGCCTGCGAATATTTCAAAGAGATCATTGCCAGCGATTTCCTCGAACAGAACCGGGAGGAGATTAAAAAGTGGCTGAACAAGGATCCGGACGCATATGACTGGTCCCTGGTACTGCAATATGTCTGCGAGCTGGAAGGAGACAGGTATATGGAGAAAGAGGGGGCATCTGATGGGGGATTTTACTGTTTTAGCAACAGCTGTAAATATTGACGCAAAGCAACTCTCCTATTTGCTGCATTTGCTTTCCCAGGTCAGCTTACTTATCCCTTTGCTTTGGATGCCCAAATATTTTTTCAACTTTAATAGTCACCGCCTCTTTTGTTTTTGAAAAAAAGGAAGAGTTGGACTATTATACGAGGCAAAAAAGTTTGTTCGAAAACAGTCACTTTTAAATAATAATAATAATAATAATAATAATAATAATAATAATAATGGGTTGTTGTAGGTTTTTCCGGGCTATATGGCCATGTTCTAGAGGCATTTTCTCCTGACGTTTCGTCTGCATCTATGGCAAGCATCCTCAGACGTAGTGAGGTAGACCTGAGGATGCTTGCCATATAGTCCGGAAAAACCTAAAACAACCCAGTGATTCCTGCCATGAAAGCCTTCGACAATATACACTTTATTTATATTCCACCTTATCTTCCCGAGAAGACTCAGAGCAGATTACAGAATGCATATATGGCAAACATTCAATGCTGTTATACAATGAACAAAGACAGACAATACATAGACAGAGGCAAAGGCTTCCCTCTTTTTCATTTCCGGCATCTGGAGGCTGTGCTCGACTCCGGCCACAGGGAGGTGCTGTTGTTTCATTTTCCATATTGAGGAGCTTGTTGTCCATGGACGCCTTACTGATTGAATAGCTGGCATGTCTTCATGGGAGCCTTTTACCTCCCCACCAAAGCAGTACCTATTCATCTACTCACATTATTGTTTTCAAACTGCTAGGTAGACAGAACCTAGATCTGATGGTGGGAGCTCACCTTGACCCGTGTCTTTGAACTGCAAACCTTCCAGTCTGCAAGATTTTCTGCAGATGGTGGCTTAACCCACTGTGTTACTGAGGCCCCACAACGATGTTGGAAACTGGGTTGTTGTAGATTTTTTCGGGCTATATGGCCATGGTCTAGAGGCATTCTCTCCTGACATTTCGCCTGCATCTATGGCAAACTGTCACGATGCCAGGGCTCTGCTGTTATTTCCAGCAGAGGTGAATCAAACAAAAACCCAGTTTAATATAAAACAGCTTAATTAAAGCAGCACTTACTTGCTGGCTGTTTCAATAGACCAAAATATAAAACAAAGAATGCACTCAACCACAGAATAAACAAAAAATGATAGCAAAAGCTGCACCGTAGTCAAATGGTCCAGTCCAGTAGTCAAATGCCGAGAGTTAAATAAACTAAATAAACTAAATAAAGAGTCTATATCGTAGTCAACAGCCAGTCCAGAGGTTCCAGGATTCCAAGATTACAGGAGACAGGTCAGAATACAGAAAATCCAAGAAACCTGGGGGAAAACCAGCAGCATCCACCACCAAAATAAAACAAATACTTTTCTCCCGAAGATAATTTCCAAGGCTCGCTCCTTATATCCACAAACAGCCAGCTGCAACCTATCTCTTGCATACCTCCACTCTTAATGGCTTTCACCCATGGACTCTTACTTAGAGATTACTCAACCCTTTAGAACTAATACTTACATTAACCCTTCCATCACCAAGCACCATCAATTACAGAACATAATACATGACAGAAACTACTTGAGAACATATACAAGACTTTTCGAAAAGGCCAACTCACCTTTGCACTCACTAACTCTCTCATTCACTCATTTATTTATTTATTTAAAACTTTTATATCCCAATTTTCTCACCTCCGTAGAGGGACTCAGACCGGCTTACAGCAAGGATTCAATGCTACTAATACAAGTTAAAACATCGTACAATGATAAAAGATTAAAATACATAAAGATAAAATACATGTATACCAAATCGGCAAAGTAAGATCATGTTCAACTCAGTCCGCATATGTGGTCACTCACTTTGGTCTGTAACCAGTCTCATCCATTATTCAGGGAATGCTTCATTCCATAACCAGGATTTCACTAGCCTCCTGAAGGACAAGAGGGAGGGGGCAGAGCTAATCTCACTCGGGAGAGAGTTCCATAGTCAAGGGGCCACCACAGAGAAGGCCCTGTCTCTCGTTCCCACCAAACGCGCTTGCGAAGGTGGTGGGACTGAGAGCAGGGCCTCTCTGGAAGATCTTAACATCCTTGATGGTTCATAGGGAAGAATACGTTCAGACAGGTCAACTGGGCCAGAACCGTATAGGGATTTATAGATTAAAACCAACACTTTGAATTGTGCTCGGAAGCTAATGGGCAGCCAGTGGAGCTGGTGCAGCAAGGGAGTTGTGACCTCCCTGTACCCAGCTCCCATCAGTAGCCTGGCTGCTCAACTAATTGCAGCTTCCGGGCAGTCTTCAGAGGCAACCCCACGTAGAGAGCATTGCAGTAATCAGTACTCACTCACTAAGATGCCCATCCATCTGCTTCAAATGACATTTCCAGAAGGGAGTGAATGGCGGATGGGTGGGTGTCTAAGTGAGCATGTGAGTGGGTGAGAACCCACACAAGCAGCCTTCCTGGAAGGGAGTGGGCAGCAGATGGATGGGCGTCGGAGTGAGTGAGTGAATGTGTGTGTGGGGGCAGGTGGGTCTTGGGTGGGTAAGGCAGCTGGGTAGGCAAATGGGCTCCTTCTTTGGAGGCTTTTAAGCAGAGTCTGGATGGCCATCTGTCAGGGGTGCTTTGAATGTGATTTTCCTGCTTCTGGACAGAATGGGGTTGGGCTGGATGCCCACGGGGTCTCTCCCAACTTTAGGATTCTATAACTCTATGAATGAGTGAAGCAGGCAGGTGGGTCTTTGGGCAGGCGAGGAGATGGGCAGGCGAATGAGCTTTTAGAGCGGGGAGGCTGCTTACTGATAAATCAAGGATGCTCCTATTATGCGAGGAATGTGTGGAACTCCCTTCCCAGTGAAATCAGATCAGTTTCCTCCCTTCTGACCTTTAGAAAGAAACTAAAAACTGGTTGTGAGACCAAGCTTTCAGAGAATAATTGCAACACGATTGGAATGGCTCCTGGATTATGGTTTCTGTTCTTGTGTGGTTTTAATAGTTGGTCTTAATGTATTTAGTGTATTGATTTTTAATTTTAACTTATTTTAATGTACATGTACAGTAGATTGTATTTGTATGTTACGTGTATGTGGCATTGAATTATTGCCAATTTGGAGGCCGCCCAGGACCCAAAAATGGAAGTGTGTCTATTATGTAATGGCAACTATTATGCAATGAAATACCATTTTTTGAAATGTCCATCACACATTTACTAGAATGCTAACAATTTCACAACTGAAGGCAAATTTCATTGGGGAAGGGAAGAATTATTGGCTGGGCAACTTTCTCATGTTGCCTTCCTTTTGGATATTATCCACACCTTGACTGCCAGTCTATCTCAGGAATAGTCCTCTGGAACAAAAAAAAGTAACTCCTTCAAGATCTGAAAGGATATCTGCGTAACCTTTATCTCCAGCCTTTGGACCTGGCTATTCCGTGATGGTCAATATTTGTATCCTTGTTTGTGGCCATGCATTTGGCAGCATCCTAAAAGGCTGTGGCTACCGTTTCAGTGGATTTTGGCACAAGAACCAGATTCTGTGACATTGTTGTAGTAAGATTAGGGTCACATTTCTGATGCCCTGTTTGAAGGATGGCAAACACAGAAGAGTTTGCAGACATGAAATAATATTTTGATATAATGGCCCAACCTGTGGGATCATGCACCTGGAATCAGGCAATCGCCATGGGAGTGGATACGAACAGAGAAGCTACACAGGCCAAAGAACATTTGGATACATTATGAGCTCAAAGGCCCATGACATTTTCCTCCCTCTTCCCTCTTAGCATTGCAAAGACCTTACTTACTTAGGCGATCACTCGTAGTCCGAGGATGATGGTCCTCCAAGTTCGGTGTCCTGGCGGTGGGTCCGTACGTGATTGTGGAGACCTATTCTTGATCTGCATCTTCTTCCGCAGTGAGGGCATCGGTTTCCAGGTGGGAGGCAGTCCTTGGAGTTGGCTTGATGCACCTTCCTCTTGGGACATTTCTCTCTTTTGCCCTCCATTCATGCCTCTCAAATTCTACAGCACTGCTGGTCACAGCTGACCTCCAGCTGGAGCACTCAAGGGCCAGGGCTTCCCAGTTCTCGGTGTCTATGCACAGTTTTTAAGGTTGGCTTTGGGCCCATCTTTAAATCTCTTTTCCTGTCTGCCAACATTCTGTTTTCCGTTCTTGAGTTCAGAATAGAGCAACTGCTTTGGGAGTTGGTGGTCGGGCATCCAGACAACGTGGCTGGTCCAGAGGAGTTGATGGCGGAGGACCATTGCTTCAATGCTGGTGGTCTTTGCTTCTTCCAGCATGCTGACATTTCCCCGCCTGTCTTCCCAAGAGATTTGCAGGATTTTCCGGAGGCAGTGCTGATGGAATCATTCCAGGAGTTGCATGTGACATCTGTAGTCTATCCACGTCTCGCAAGTGCATGTGACGTCTGTAGTCTATCCACGTCTCGCAAGCGCATGTGACGTCTGTAGTCTATCCACGTCTCGCAAGCGCATGTGACGTCTGTAGTCTATCCACGTCTCGCAAGTTGGGAGGACAATAGCTTTACAAACAAGCACCTTGTTATCCCTATGGTTCTCCCGGTCCTCAAACACTCTCTGCTTCAATAGAAAATATGCTGCACTCGCAGAGCTCAGGCGGTGTTGTATTTCGGTGTCGATGTTGACTTTGGTGGAGAGGTGGCTGCAAAGGGAGTGGAAATGATCAACATTTTCTAATGTTACACCATTAAGCTGTATCTCTGGCATTGGAGAGGGATTGGCTGGTGTCTTCTGGAAGAGCACTTTGGTTTTCTCGGTGTTCAATGACAGGCCGAGCTTCTCGTATGCTTCTGCAAAGGTGTTTAGAGTGGCTTGTAGGTCTTCTTCTGAATGCGCACAGACGACGTTGTCATCAGCATACTGGAGTTCTAGAACAGATGTTGTTGTAACCTTGGTTTTGGCTTTCAGTCTCCTGAGGTTAAATAGCTTGCCATCCATCCATGCAAAGGTTAAATAGCTTGATTGCCATCCATCCAAAGAATGATTCCATCCTTAACATATGCATTCCAAACTTTTGACATTCCTGCATGCTTGCTTTGTTCCAATCTCACCTTTTCCTTTCTTATAGGGAGAAGTGGAGGGAAAGGGAAGAAAAGCTCAGGAAGACCATCAAGCAAGTCCTTCCATGTGATGCCACCCTGACCAATCCTTTCGACCCGCTGGTGATCCCGCCGGCCGATTGCCTCCTCTCCACTTTTGCTCTGGAAGTGGCTTGCAAGGACCATTCTGTCTACCGCTCAGTCGTGAAGAATCTGGGTGCTTTGGTCAAACCTGGGGGTCACCTCATTTTTGCTGCGACTCTTGGAGTCAGCTTTTGGATGGTTGGCTCATGCAAGTTTGATTGCCTTGCCCTGACACCTGAGTTAGTTGAAGGTTCCGTGAAAGAGGCTGGCTTTGAAGTTCTGTCGTGTGAGAGCCTTGGGTTTACTTTCCCCCCAGATGTCTGTGATGCATATGACTCACTCTTTATAGTGGCCCGGAAGCCTAATTAAACCCAGTGAGTTAATGAGATAGAAACTCACCATAGAAAAGCCAAAAAAGATGCCCATTCTCTTTGATCTCTAGTTTAGGAACACACAAACAGGTAGACCAAGCCATGCCAAAGTAACTGGTGGATCCCATGTCTATGGAGTGGGAACCAACTCTAGGTTTTAACCCAGATCCTAAAGGAACTATCCAAGGTGCTGAACTTTATTCCTAAATAGCCCCAGTACCTCGGAGAGCTCCTTTATAACCAGTCTAAACTTGGAAGGATTCACCCCTCTTTTGAATGGAAACCACAAGCCACACGTTAGTGTCAATTGCTATTTTGGGCACTACAACTCTCATAGTATGCCAGTGCTATGATGGCTTGGGGATTCAAGATATTGAAGCCTTTCTAAAAGTAACACATTCCCAAAAACTATGTCAAGAGGGAGAAGAAAGCCCATTTCCTTTACCTAGAATGTTCCAAGAAGAAATCAAGCTCAACTCAAGCAACTATCAACCCATCAAAGTAGTATTTGAAACAAAAATCAAAATAAAATCACAAAGCTGTTTAGTTACGTTTGTCTTTATTGGTCCTAAATTGCTTTTAAATTACTGTATTTTAATATTAATATCAAGTCACTATAGAGTTTAAGGTATGGTAAAGTATGGGGCATAGTACTACTTAGGTCTATTTTTAAGAGTAATTCCCAAGCAATCCAAACGTACAGTTATGCAGCATTTATGCTTAGATGAAAGTGAAATCAAATCAAATCAAATCTTTATTATGGTCACAGGCCAGCATTTTTCATAGATGAGCATAAAAAATCTACTATATTATTATTTCTAGAACAGTTCCTAGTTTGTTGTCGAAGGCTTTCATGACCAGAATCTCTGGGTTGCTGTGAGTTTTCCGGGCTGCCTGGCCATGTTCCAGAAGCATTCTCTCCTGACGTTTCACCCGCATCTATGGCAGGCATCCTCAGAGGTTATGAAGTCTGTTGGAAACTAGGAAACTAGGAAAACCCCTCCTCTGGAATCATGTGTCTCAAATTAGGCAATCGAGAAGGGGTAGGGTATGAATTGAGATGCTACATAAGCCATAAGTCATTTGTGTACATTGCAAGCTCAAAGGCACCATGGAGGGGGAATTCACTGAGAAAGATGCTTATAAACCCTCTTGGTTGGTGAAATCCTGCTTGGAGGGATTACGTGACCCTCTGTTGAAGATCATAAACAGCTCCCTTGAGCAAGGAGTTTTTCCAGAGGGTTTAAAAGAGGCGGTGGTCTCTCCCCTGCTGAAGAAACCAGACTTAGATCCCTCGGTTCCCTCCAGTTACCGCCCAGTTTCGAATCTCTCGTTCCTGGGCAAGGTGATGGAGAGGGCAGCAGCGGAGCAGTTGCAGCAATTCCTAAACGACACAGCCAGTACTAGATCCCTTCCAGTCCGGCTTCCGTGCGGGGCATGGGACAGAGACTGTGCTGGTCTCCATCACGGATCACCTTCGATGCCAGCTTGACCAGGGCGGGTCAGCGCTGCTTGTGTTATTGGATCTCACAGCAGCATTGGACACAGTCGACCACCATCTTTTGACCCACCGCCTTGCTGTTGCTGGAGTCAGGGGGAGAGCTTTAAACTGGCTCCCCTCCTTTCTTCACAACCGTGAACAGCGAGTGGAGAGGGGAGGCCTGGTCTCTGAGAGGTCCCCTCTCTCTCTCTTGTGGGGTTCCTCAGGGGGCCATTCTCTCTCCTCTCTTGTTTAACATCTATATGCGACCACTTGCTCAGCTGGTTCGAGGTGTTGGGCTTGAGTGTTACCAATATGCTGATGACACTCAGCTTGTGTTGAAGATGGAAGGCCAACCAGACTCTGTACCCGATTGTTTCCATCAGTGCCTCGAGGCCGTTACTGGATGGCTGCGTGCCAGCAGGTTGAGGGTGAATCCAGCAAAGACGGACATCCCATGGCTGGGTCAACCGGGCAGTGGGGATATCCAGCTGCCCACCCTGGATGGCGAGGCGCTATGCCTGTCACCGTTGGTCAAGAGTCTGGGAGTCCTTTTGGACCCTCTGCTGACAATGGAGGCCCAGGTCTCCGCTGTGAGCAGAACCACGCTCTTTCACCTGCGGCAGGCTAGACGGCTGGCCCCCTCCCTGTCCAGGGACGACCTAGCTACGGTGATCCAGGCCACGGTCATCTCAAGACTGGACTACTGTAACGCCCTCTACATTGGCCTTCCTCTGTCTGGTGATCCGGAAGCTCAAGTTGGTACAAAATGCAGCTGCTCGGCTTCTTGCGGGAATTCCGATGAGATGCCACATAACCCAATCTTACTACAGCTGCATTGGTTACCAATTGAGCACCGGATCACTTTCAAAGTGATGGTACTCACCTTTAAGGCCTTGCATGGTCTGGGGCCGATGTACCTGAGGGACCGCCTCACCCCCTCCCAACCCCAGAGATCCCTCCGTTCTGAGGACCAAGATCTGTTGGAAATTCTCAATGTCAAGACCTTGCATCTAACAGCAACCAGATGCAGAGCCTTTACAGCAGTGGCACCATCACTCTGGAATACTCTGCCAGCTGAAGACTTTCCGCAGGGCATGTAAGACATATTTGTTTCGACAGACCTTTGATCTTTGATATTGCTGTTTTTAAATTGTTTTAAATTGTTTTTAAATTGTGTTAGATTTTAGCCTGTTCTTGTAAGCCGCTCCGAGCCCCAGGGGAGTGGCGGCATATAATTTCGAATAATAAATAAATAAATAAACAAATAAACAGAAATTCTTGACCAAAGATTATCTTTTGGAAAATGTATACATTCTGAAGAATTTGGGTTATGATTTGATCTGCTTAAAGAATATATATTTGAATTAAAATGCCTAAGTATCTATGAAGAAATGATGCATGTTTGGCAACATAATGGAACATCATAAGAAAAAGTTTATTATATCTTCTTTCCCCAACAGTTCTGCGAAATAGATTGCCCTTGTTCAGCCAAATGATCATGGGATACATTAGGAATCAATGGCAGACTACTTGGAATGAAAAAGAATAACAAGCATAGGGTATTCGTGGCTCTCCCATACATTCTGAGGGCCTTAGGCCTCCTTCACTTTCTGAGCTATGATGAAATACAATGCAGCAAAATCACACAAATCCATCGTCATTTTATCAATCCTGGGTTGTGTTTTGAACTGGATAATGGTAAAGCCATTTTCCGCGAGGGCTTCCCTCTGGAATTTCTCCGTCAGGAACAAGATGGAGAACTTCCGGGAGCCCACCACGAGGAAAGTGGTCTCCGCAAGCCCACTGAGCACCAAATGCCCCCCAGGTTTCAGCAAGGAGCTGACGTTGCTCAAAGCAGCCCTGTAGCTGGCCTGGTCTTTGCAGGCGGATTCCAGGCATTCGGTGGAGAGGACACAGTCCACTGGGGGCAAACGGAGGGGGGCCATTGGGTTCTGGAGGTTGACGTCACACTTCAGGACCTGCTGGATGGCTCTTCGAAGCTTGGCCTCCTTCTCAGGCCACTTGACTCTGCAAGAAAGGGAGGGAAAAGAAACAAAGGAATTGCATGGAATCTAAAATCTCCTATCAAATGGCCAATAGCCCTCAAGTCTCCCATGAAATGACCTAGAGTCTTTCCAAAAGCCCTTGGGTTGGGGTGGGAATGTTCTTCTCATACAACTTGACCTCAGACATCAGAAGAGCTGCAAGACCGAGGACAAGCCATGAGAATAAAGACAAAGATCCACTCAGAGGAAATGTGTTCTTGCCATACATCAAGGGAACCACTGACTGCAGAGGGAAGAGGATGAGGAAACACAACATACAAACTATCTACAGACCCACCAAGAAATCCAACCAATGCTCCGTTCAGCAAAGGACAAGAGGGATCCTCTCACTTCTGCAGGAGTCTCCCGTCTACCATGCAGCTGTGGACAGGTTTATGCAGGGACCACCAAACGCAGCAGGATTGCCCAGACACACATCAAGGAACGTGAAAGGCACTGCAGACTCCTTCAACCAGAGAAGTCAGCCATAGCAGAGCACCTGATGAACCAGCCTGGACACAGCAGATTACTGGAGAACACAGAAATGCCGGACCACTCTCACAACCACCATGTCAGGCTACACAGAGAAGCCACTGAAATACACAAGCATGTGAACAATTTCAACAGAAAGGAGGAAACCATGAAAATGAACAAAATTTGGCTACCAGTATTTAAAAACTCTAAAATTACAACAGCACAACAACAGAGAGGAAATAAACAAGGTCATCTAATCACCTCTCAACAAAAGATTGCCCCAGGCACTGTCAGGCCATTATATGCTAATCAAGGTGGTCAGTTGAAACATTCACACCTAGCTCCAGCAGACAAGAGTCCTTTGTCCCACCTGGTCATTCCACAGATAGATAAACCCTTTTTCCTAGTTCCAACAGACCTCACTGCTTCTGAGGATGCTTGCCATAGATGCAGGCAAAACATCAGGAGAGAATGCCTCTAGACCATGGCCATATAGCCCGAAAAAATCTACAACAACCCATCTTGGCCTTTGCTCCCAGCCCGTGGACCAGGCAATGCCATGAAGCTCAGTGTTTATGTCCTTGTTTACTGTTATGCATTTGACGCTCTCCTAGAATGGACTGGGCCATGCCTCGAACTTGGAATGACTTTCCAATGTGCACAGAGTATACATTGTGCTGAATGGGCCTGGAATTTCAGATGCAGACAATGTCTGCATTCAAAGGCTCTCCAGAGCTCACAGAAAAGGCCAAAGAAAACATCATGAATGACAAGCCATGCAAAAGAACGATAGATGGTTCTGTTGCTCATGAAGATGCAGAGTTAGTGTGAGGTTTTTGTACAGTCAGACTTTGGGAAGGCAGAAGGACTCAGGTTCAGCCCCTAGAATCTCCAAGTAGGTTTAGGAAAGCATCTCTGGAAAACCTCTGCCAACAGTCAATGTATGGAGAAGATGGTGTACACAATGAGTAAGCCTCCTGTATCCATGGGGAATACATTCCCAACCAGACCATGGTTATGTGAAACCACAGATATGGCCAAGCATCATCGAGTTACCTCATTTCAGGTCCCAACATACCAAAGGAGAACCCAGAGCTTCCTAGGGAAGTATCCTCCCATTCCCTCAGCTCTCTGTATCCCTTCCTTCTCTGGTTCTCAGTCTATCATGACCTCTTGCTTTTTGTCAGCCAGCCTCTGGCTTCCACCTATTAGCCCTATATAAGCTGGCCCTTCTCTTTCCTCACATCGTTGTACTTCATGAACATCCCATCGTATCCCATCACCTACATTCCATTAACCTCAAAGGCAATACATATGTATGGCCTTCAAAAAGTACAGTAGATGGCAAGATTCCCTTACAGGTAGGAAGCTGTTCCCTTACCTGTTTCCCTCCAGCTCACATACATACATTCCTATAGAACTCCAGTCAAAAGCTCCGGGTTCATTCTTCCGCCATTTTTCTATTTCCTGGAGGTTTTGGTCAAGGTAGTCAGAGGCAATGATGTTCTCAAAGGACTCACAAGCTGACATGAATTGGTAGATGCAGGGGCCACTGCCTAGATCGATCAAAGTGTCTCCTTTCAGGAAATCTGGAAGAAAAAGGAAGAGGAAAAAGAGTCAACTGGACGGGGAACCAGGAACATGGTCAACGGGAAGAGTCAACTGGAAGGGGAACCAGGAACATGGTCAACGGGAAGAGTCAACTGGAAGGGGAACCAGGAACATGGTCAACGGGAAGAGTCAACTGGAAGGGGAACCAGCAACATGGTCAACAGGAAGAGTCAACTGGAAGGGGAACCAGAAACATGGTCAACGGGAAGAGTCAACTGGAAGGGGAACCAGAAACATGGTCAACGGGAAGAGTCAACTGGAAGGGGAACCAGGAACATGGTCAACGGGAAGAGTCAACTGGAAGGGGAACCAGCAACATGGTCAACGGGAAGAGTCAACTGGAAGGGGAACCAGAAACATGGTCAACGGGAAGAGTCAACTGGAAGGGGAACCAGAAACATGGTCAACGGGAAGAGTCAACTGGAAGGGGAACCAGAAACATGGTCAACAGGAAGAGTCAACTGGAAGGGGAACCAGAAACATGGTCAATGGGAAGAGTCAACTGGAAGGGGAACCAGAAACATGGTCAACTGGAAGAGTCAACTGGAAGGGGAACCAGAAACATGGTCAATGGGAAGAGTCAACTGGAAGGGGAACCAGAAACATGGTCAATGGGAAGAGTCAACTGGAAGGGGAACTAGGAACCAGGAACATAGGGCTTCATAAACATAGTGTCATGCAGACAGGGTTGGAAGGATAGACCCCAGAAAGGATTCTTGAGGCTTTACTTTGCTCAAGGAGGATAGCAGTCAGTGACATAACATATTTCTGAGCCATGTTTGGTTGAATCAGTGGATGCAGAACCGACCTATACATAAGGCGATTCTATCAGTATGCTTCATACCTAATGAAATTCTGCTTCTCTTCAATGTGCTACCATGTGCCCTTCCCTCCATTTTCATCCTTTCCAAGAGACTGCTCCCAACATGGAATGTGTCTACATGGCAGAATTGATGTGCTCACTCCATGTTAAGAGTTAAGACTTTTCTTCACTTTCATTGCCATGGCTCTATGCTAGGGAACCCTGGGAGTTGTGGTTTTCCAAGGTCTTTTCTGCCAGGAAGTGCTGCTGCCTCACCAAACTACACTGCCCAGGATGCCATAATACTGAGTGATTGTAGCTAAAGCTTCTGAGCTCTGCGAGTGCAGCATTCTTCTGAATGAAGCAGAGATTGTTTGAAGACTGGGACATCTGTAGGGATACCCAAGGTGCTTGTTTATTAAACTATTGTCCTCCCAACCCTGCTATACGCCTGTGAAACGTGGACTGTCTACAGACGTCATACGCAACTCCTGGAATGATTCTATCAGCATTGCCTCTGAAAAATCCTGCAAATCTCTTGGGAAGATAGGCAGAAAAATGTCAGTGTGCTGGAAGAAGGAAAGACCACCAGATGGCCCTCCACCATTAATTCCGCTGGACTGAAGGCCATATTGTCCGGATGGCTGACCACCATCTCCCAAAGCAGTTACTATACTCCAAACTCAAGACGGAAAACGGAATGTTGGTGGACAGGAAAAGAGATTTATAGATGGGCTCAAAGCCAACCTCAAAAACTGTGGCATAGACACCGAAAACTGGCCCTTGAGTGCTCTAACTGGAGCTCAGCTGTGACCAGCAGTGCTGCAGAATATGAATAGGCACGAATGGAGGGCGAAAGGGAGAAACCTGTCAAGAGGAAAGCGCATCAAGCCAACCCAACTGGGACCGCCTTCCACATGGAAACCGATGTCCTCACTGTGGGAGAACATGCAGGTCAAGAACAGAGCTCCACAGCCACCTACGAACCCACCGCGAAGACACATATCTGGAAGGCAATCTTCCTTGAGCTATGAGGAATTGCCTAAGTAAGTAAGGTTTTGTAGTATAGATTAGGCATGGGCAAACTTGGGCCCTCCAGGTGTTTTGGACTTCAACTCCCACAATTCCTAACAGCAGTCGGCTGTTAGGAATTGTGGGAGTTGAAGTCCAAAACACCTGGAGGGCCCAAGTTTGCCTGTGTCTGTCATAGATACTCTCATGGCTGTTGTATTCCCTGATGGGACTTAAGGGTGTCCCTTGACCTGCTGATCCCAAAGGACCAATGACAGTCCTGCAGACCCCATAAAGACCATGTGCCAAGGGGAACTTTTCAGTCCAAGGCGCTTGTCTCTTGTGTGTAGAGGCAGCCCTAGGTAATTTTCAACGGTAAGCAAACAGTATTTTGGTGCCCCCCCCCAACCAATCATTGATATATATTTTCTGTTTGTCGTGGGAGTTCTGTGTGCCATATTTGGTTCAATTCCATCATTGGTGGAGTTCAGAATGCTCTTTGATTGTAGGTGAACTATACATCCCAGTAACTACACTTGCCGCACTTGCTCCCTTGCCTGGCCCGCTTTGGGTCCGGAGGCGTGCCTGAAGACCCCGGCGTGTGCACCAAAAGTCACCTTTTCTCCTGACTTTCTCCTCAGCCATTGGGACCAAGAGAGAGAGAGAGAGAGAGAGGTGGAGATGCCCACCTTTCCTGAAGGTAGGCGCAAAAACAAAGGAGGGAGCGGAGGTGGGAGATACCTCCAGCCGGAGGGGCTCTCTCTCTCTCTTGGTCCCAAAGGCTGAAGAGAAAGTCAGGAGAAGAGGCGACTTTTGGTGCGCACGCTGGGGTCTTCAGACACGCCTCCGGACCCGAAGCGGGCCAGGCACGGCGGCTCCGCCCCTTGGCCCACCCGCGGATTGGGGAGAGGAGAGGAGGTGGGTGGAGCGCCGGGGGATCGGGAAAGGGAGCCGGTCATGGGGAAGGGATCGAACACGGAGAACGATTGAGCGCCGGCTCTGCTCGCGCACCCGGTGGCCGGGTGGAGCAGGAACGAGAGGGGCTAGGCGAGGCTCAAGGGCCCGGCCCCTTTGGGAAGAGGATCACCCGGCAGCGAGGCAAGAAAGCCGAGGCTCCCCCCGGACTGCTAGGGCTGTTGTGAGCTGAGGGGGCGCTCCTCAAGTGGCGGTTGAGGGGCATTTACAGAGGCGCCTCTGCGCCCCTGGCAAAAAAAGTGTTCTGCGACCGCTTACTTCGCATAATGGACGAGCCGCCCCTGCTTGTGTGAGAGCTTTGGCTCAGCTCCAGCTTCTCATCTTGGAGAGGTGCATGGAATCTTTCCCATCCCTTGACTCTGCTTGTTCTTTGCCCCCTGTCTGGGTTGATAGACTCCTCCTCCTCCTCCTCCTCCATGATCCCAGATCCTTGTGAATTTGGGAGTTTGCTTGCTTGTTTTCAAACAAAATGTCACGGTATGATTTTATTTCCAGGAACTCCCATTTAAAGAAGGAGGAGAAGGAGAGAAAGAATAAGGAAAAGAAGAGAGATTATGCAAAATCTTTTTGGTAAGGGCCAGTGTGAAAGGACTCTTTCTCGTCGTGCAAATGGGCAGAGGCTCTCTACACTAGAAAGAATGTGTTTTGGCACCACTTTACCTGCCAAAGCTCAAATCTTGGGAGTTGTAGCTTTACCAGGAAAGTCATGCTACCCCTCTATTCTGCCTTGATTAAACCATACCTGGAATACTATATCCAGTTCTGGGTACCACAATTGAAGAGAGATATTGACAAGCTGGAATGTGTCCAGAGGAAGGTGACTCAAATGATCAAAGGTCTGGAGAACAAGCCCTATGAGGAGCGGCTGAAAGACATGTTTAGCCTGAAGAAGAGAAGGCTGAGAAGATACATGGTAGCCATGTATAAGTATGTGAGAAGAAGTCATAGGGAGGAGGGAGCAAGCTTGTTTTCTGCTGCCCTGGAGACTAGGACGCAATGGAGCCATGGCTTCAAACTACAAGAAAGGAGATTCCATCTGAACATGAGGAAGAACTTCCTGACTGTGAGAGCCGTTCAGCAGTGGAACTCTCTGCCCCAGAGCGTGGTGGAGGCTCCTTCTTTGGAAACTTTTAAACAGAGGCTGGATAGCCATCTGTCAGGGGTGATTTGAAGTGATATTCCTGCTTCTTGGCAGAATGGGGTTGGACTGGATGGCCCATGAGGTCTCTTCCAACTCTAGGATTCTATGGGATTGGGAAAATAACTCTATTTTTCCCCAGGATCTTGGACCCTTCAACTGGATGCAAAATGGAAGATAAAAAAAAAGAACGTCCTAATTTTTAGAGCTGTATCCTCTCTGCCCTGGAGTGTGGTAGAGGCTCCTTCTTTGGAAGCTTTTAAACAGAGCCTGGATGCCCATCTGTCAGGGGTGCTTTGAATGCAATTTTCCTGCTTCTTGGCAGAAAGGGGTTTATTTATTTATTTATTTATTTATTTACAGCAGAGAGGCTATTTAACTTTTTTCTGGCCGCCAGGGGAGCTGTCGCTTTCCTTGTCCATCTGCGATGCTGATGAAGCACTTCCGCATTCCCCGCATGCTTCCCCGCTGGAATGCTTTGCTGGAGTCTTCTTTATGGCCTCATAAATCAGTTAATTTAGCCTCCCCACACTTTTTAAGGTGGTACCTTATTTTCCTACTTGACAGATGCAACTGTCTTTCGGGTTGCAAAGGTCAACAACAGGCTACACACAATTGGTTGGAAACCCACTCCAACCCGGGCTGGCTTCGAACTCATGACCTTTTGGTCAGAGTGATCTTAATGCAGCTGACACTCAGCCAGCTGCCCCACAATCCCGGTTGGACTGGATGGCCCATGAAGTCTCTTCCAACTCTAGGATTCTACCAGATGTTTACCCTTCCTTGCTAAGGAATGCCTCTCCAAATTGCAGCTCCTGGCATTCCCTAGCGTTGAGCCCTAGCAGTGAAAGTGGTGTCAAACTGCATTCAGTCAACACCAAGCAGAAGGCAGGGTTAATTTCCACCCGAAATATCTCCCAAAGAGGGTCGCCGCATGCTGGAAAGATCCTACCTGGAGTGAAGGTCTTGCAAAAGCATTTCAGGTAAAATGTAACAGCCTCGTTTCCCAAACTGTCGCTTCCCAAATTGAAATATTCCAGATAGGCCTGAGGGTCGAATTCTTTCTGGTAAACCTCTCCACTGGTGAATTCTTCCATGGTGTTTTCAGCGTTCCTGGGCAGCGGATGTGTTGTTTCCCTGCGCTGGGCCTCTAGTTCCTCATGCCTCTTTGAGGACAGTTCTTGGCAGCTAAATCTCCACTGATTAGCTACAGCCCAGAAACCCTTTCCTCATTGGAGGAGCCATAGATAAGATCTGCACAAAGGTTAGTTTCTGCCTCTGATATTCGGCCTCTCCAGATGCATGGCATGTGCAAAATAGAACAAGTTTGGCCACTCACTGTCTTTTTAATGGCGACAAAGGCTGGGATTTACCTTTAAGCAAAATCGAACTGATACAATCAAGCACACAGCCAAGGGGGCAGCTTAGGGGTTTACTCATGAATTGTCACTGGTTGACCAAATCTCCATGCCAAGTCTATAAGAAGCAAAAATTAGAGTCCCTCCAGAACTGAAAGCACTATCTCAACCAATTCACACTATAGCAATGTATTAAAAGCCACAACCACCACTCACAAAGAGCTTTCTATATGCTGATGACCTTGGCCTAACAACACAAGCAAAAGACTTTGAAACAGTTGAAATCCAACTTACTAATGCCTTGAAAGATCTCTCCAGCTACTGCAAAGATAAGCACCTGAAGCCTAACCCTGCCAAGACACAAGTGTGTGCTTTCCACCTACGCAACTGTGAAGCCAACAGGGAATTGAAAGTCACCTGGGAAGGTCAAGAGGTTGAACATTGTTTTCATCCTAAATACGAGGGGTATTTTTTAAGTAAGGTCCGTTTTGTTGTAGACACTAGTAGTTCACACGCATACTGCAACGAGCGTGTGCGTCGTGTACCGGCATGCCTCGGGAACAACTGTGCTCAGTTTCCGCTCACCTGTACAGTTCTGTTCTGTGCTTTAAAAATGTTTAAGACTCTCAACTCACCCTCCACATGTGAGGTTTGCTCAGTGATACGGTTTTGGTCAGCAAGGAACCTGCCTGCTGCAGAAATTCATCGACAGATTTGTGAAGTGTACGGTGAGACTGTTATGAGTGAAAGCAAAGTGCGTAAGTGGGTACGACAATTCAAAGATGGCCGTGACAACGTCCATGATGAGGGCTGCTCCGTTTGTCCTTCTTTTTGCTCTTGTTGTGAACCGCGTTGAGTCGCCTACGGGCTGAGAAACTGCGGTATACAAGCAAAGTAAATAAATAAATAAATAAATAAATAAATAAAGCTAGGACTGACAGCAGAAGCTCACGCCGCTCCCCGGAATCGAACCTGCGACCTTTCGATCAACAAGCTCAGCAGCTCAGTGCTTTAACCCATTGCGCCAAACTAGGGACGGCTAGTTTGTAATAAAAGTAAATACTGTATTTGAATTAAAGCCTAGAAGCCTAGAATTAGCCTAGAATTAAAGCCCATTGAGGTAAGGTATTGCAAATATTTGCCAAAATAATGGAATTTAGGCAACTTCTATTGTTATTCCTCTAAGACTTTATTGTATTTCCTTTTCCCATCAACACTGAGAAGTAGGTTGTATCTGGATAACATGGCATATACTACATACATACAAGATTTATTACGGTCAATGGCCAACATCAAAAAAATGTACAAATGTCAGGATAGGCACATATACATTTGGGTATTAGGAAATAATGTCAAAACAAAGTTAAAAACTCAGTATTGAATAAGATAGTTAAAATGGTATTAAACATTTAGATGCTAAAATGACAATGTTAAAACTGAAATAAATATTAAAACTTTCTAAGACTGTGACAGCATCTTGCGCCAACAAGCTATTGCTGCTGCACAGAAGCCGAGCAACATGGGATCCATTGTGAATCAGTGGCAGACTATGTGGAATGAAAAAGGATAAGAAACACAGCCTACTTTGAGGATATTCATGTGTCTTCCAAACTTTTTGATGGCCTTAGGCCTCCGTCCCTTTCTGGGCTACAATGAAATAAAATTCAGTTAAATCACACAAATCCAGCATCCCTTTATCCACTCGGGATTTTGTTTTGAACTGGACAATGTTAAAACCGCTTGCTGGGAGGGCTTCCTTCAGGAACTCCTCTGTTAGAAACAAGCTGGAGAACTTCCAGGTGCCCACCATATAGAAGGTGGTCTCCAAAACCCCACTAAGAACCAAATGGCCCCCAGGTTTCAGCAAGGAGCTGATGTTGCTCAAAGCGGCCCTGTAGCTGGCTTGGTCTTTGCAGGCGGCCTCCAGGCATTCGGTGGAGAGGACACAGTCCACCGGGGGCAAGTGGAGGGGGGCCATTGGGTTCTGGAGGTTGACGTCACACTTCAGGACCCGTTGGATGGCCCTTCGGAGCTTGGCCTCCTTCTCGGACCACGTGGTTCTGCAAGAAAGGGACAGAAGGGAAACCAAGGAATTATATGGAGTGTCAGATCTCCTATCAAATGGCCAATAGCTCTTAAGTCGCCAATCAAGTGACCAAGACTCCACAAGTCTCCTGTCAAGACACCAAGAACCCCCAAGTCTCCTGTCAAGAGGCCAAGAACCCTCAAATCTCCTATGAAATGGACACAAATCTTCAAGTCTCCAATCAAGTGACCAAGAACCCTCAAGTCTCCAGTCAAGAGGCCAAGAACCCTCAAGTCTTCTATCAAATGGACACTAAACTTCAAGCCTCCAATCAAGTGGAAAAGAACCCTCTAGTCTCCTATCAAATGGACGAGAACCCTCAAGTCTCCAATCAAGTAGCCAAGAAACCTCAAGTCTTCAATAAAGTGCTAAAAACCCTCAAGTCTCCTATCAAGTGGCCAAGAACCCTTAAGTCTTCAGTCAAAAAGCCAAGAACCCCCAAGTCTCCTGTCAAGAGACCAAGAACCCTCAAATCGCCTATGAAATGGACACAAATCTTCAAGTCTTCAATCAAGTGACCAAGAACCCTCAAGTCTCCAATCAAGAGGCCAAGAACCCCCAAGTATTCTATCAAGAGACCAAGAACCCTCAAGTCTTCTATCAAATGGACACTAAACTTCAAGCCTCCAATCAAGTGGCAAAGAATCCTCTAGTCTCCTATCAAATGGACAAGTACCCTCAAGTCTCCAATCAAGACGCCTCCAATAAAGTGCTAAAAACCCTCAAGTCTCCTATCAAGTGGCCAAGAACCCTCGAGTCTCCAGTCAAAAAGCCAAGAACCCCCAAGTCTCCTGTCAAGAAGCCAAGAACCCTCAAATCTCCTATGAAATGGACACAAATCTTCAAGTCTCCAATCAAGTGACCAAGAACCCTCAAGTCTCCAATCAAGTGGCAAAGAACCCTCTAGTCTCTTATCAAATGGACGAGAACCCTCAAGTCTCCAATCAAGAGGCCTCATGTATCCAAACAAGTGACCAAGAATCCTCAAGTCTCCAATCAGGTAGCCAAGAACCCTCAAGTATCCAATAAAGTCCTAAAAACCCTCAAGTCTCCTATCAAGTGGCCAAGAAGCTTCAAGTTTCTGATCAAGTGGCCAAGAACCCGCTAGTCTCCTATCAAATGGATAAGAACCCCCAAGTCTCCGATCAAGTGGCCAAGAACCCTCAAGTTTCCAATCAAGTGACCAATATCCACTGTCAAGCCACTGTCAAGTCACTAAGAGGTCTCACGTCTCCTATCAAATGGTCACAAGCCTTAAGCTCAATATAAAGAAGTCTGGATGGAAATCTTCTTCTCACACAAGATGATCTTTGCTTCCAGCCTGTGGACCAGGCAATGCCACAAGTTCAATGTTTATATCCTTCTTTCCTGTTGTGCATTTGACGCTGTCCTAGAATGGACTGGGTGATGGCACAAACATGGAATGACTCCAGTTTGCACAGAGTATGCATTGTGCTAATTGTGCCTGGAATTTCACATGCAGACAATGCTCGCATTCAAAGGCCCTCCAGAGCTCACAGAAAAGGTCGAAGAAAATATTGTGATTGACAAACCACAATATTTTCTGTTCCACATGCGGCTGCATATGTAGCATGAGCTTTGAGTACAGACAGACTTTGGGAAGGCAGGAGGCCTCTGCTTCAGTCCATAGAATCTCTAAATAGGCTTAGGAAAGTACCTCTGGAAAACTTGACAATATGGAGTAGATGGTCTAAGGAAGACCCCTGAATGCATGGGGGATATAATCCTATCCAGACCACAGTTATGTGAAACCACAGATATGGCCATGCACAATTGAATGGAGGAGCTAAAGATTCCTAGAGAGGTGTCCTCTCATTTTTCCTTCTCTGATACTTGGTCAGCTCTGTCCTTTTGCTTTTCATCAGCCAGCCTCTGACCCCAACGTATTAGCCCTATATCAGCTGACCTTTCCCCTTCCTTGCATTCAGTTGTACTTCATGAACATTTCATAATACCCCATCATCCACACATCCCATTGACCCAAAAGGTAATACATATTTATGGATTTCAGGAATCCGAATGAGTGGTAAGGTCTATAGGTAGGAAGTTGACAAAGAGCAATAGCAATGGGGGGGGGGGGGATGGGTTTGCTTTCTGGAGTGTCCCCATACCTTTTCCCCTCCAGCTCGCATACATAGATCCCCACAGGGCTCCAGTCAAAAGCTCCAGGTTCGTTCTTCCACCATTTTTCTATTTCCTGGAGGTTTTGGTCAAGGTAGTCAGAGGCAATGATGGTCTCAAAGGACTCACAGGCCGACATGAGTTGGTAGATGGTGGGGCCACTGCCTATATCGATCAAGGTGTCTCCTTTCAGGGAACCTGGAAGCAAAAAAGAAGTGGAGGAAAAGGAAGATTGAAGGGTCTTCATCAACTAGGAACCCAAAAAACATTTGGTCCAGTAGAACCAGGGACAAAGAGCTTCATAAACTTGGTGTCCTGCAGACAGGGTTGCAAGAAGGAGAACATGAGTGGTTTGCTTCAGGAGGGGAGACATCAATCATAGAGCTGGGCTTAGCACAGCAAGCTAAACCTTTGTGCTCCAGAAACGCATTCACCCCTACGTCCCACCTCGTAATCTAAGATCATCCGGGGAGGCCCTGCTCTCGCTCTTGTCAACAGCACAGATGCATCTGGCAGGGATGAGAGACAGGGCCTTCTTGGCTGTGGCCCCCCGCCTATGGAACATTCTCCCAAATGAGGTAAGATCCGTTCCCTCCCTCCTGGCTTTTAGAAAAAAAATAAAATCATGGTTTTGGGACCAGGCCTTTGGGCAGTAGAAGTAAATGTATGCAGCATTTCAGAAAGACAATGACTGGAATGGCAATTCGACGGATGAGACTGTTTTATTGTTTTAATGGTTGTTTTATTGCTTGTGGATGAATTGTTTTTAACTTGATTTATGTCTAATTGTAGTGTATAATTGTAATTGTTTGTACTGGCATTGAATTTTGCCATTACTTATGTGTAAACCGCTTTGCGTCCTCCTCGGAGCGAGAAAAACGGTATACAAATACTGTAAATAAATAATAATAAATGAAAATCCTGCCAACCGGAAGGTCAATAGTTTGAGCATGGGTTGGGATTGAGCACCTGCCATTAGCCCCAGCTCACCTGCCCACATAGCAGGCCGTAAACAGAAATGTGAGTAGAGAAAAATAGGTATCGCTATCGTAACGGGGAGGTAATAAAGGTGCCATTAAGGACATCGATCAGAGGAGAGCTCCTTGGCATGGAAGATGGAGCAACACCTGTGGTCGAAGTCAAGCACAGCCTCAAAGGTCTCTGAAATAAGATGGGAAAAACTGCATTTACCTCTGTGGTGTCGTCTGTCTGTTGTTGTTATTGTGTAATATTCATTGAATATTTGTCATATGTGTCTTCTGTAAAGCCATTATGAATCCCCTTTGGGGTGAAAGGGGTGGGGTATAAATACTGTAAATAAATAACTAAATAAATATTTTTACGAATATTTCTGAGCCCTGGTTGGTTGAATCTGTGGATGCAGAATTGACATATACAGAAGGCATACCTAATAGAATCCCAGTTCTCTTAAATCAGTAGTTCTCAACATGTGGGCCATGGCCGTGTAGTGGGCTACGAGAATGAAAATCTGGTTCATGAACCTCCTTCCTCTTTATTTTATTTTATTTTATTTTATTTTATTTCTGCTCCTTTCCTCAGGGCTAACCAGCCCAGCCCACTTTGGAACTAATGTTGGAGAGTGGTCCCTGGTCAAAGTGGTCCCTGTTCAAGTGGACCCTGGTCAAAGTGAGCCCTGGTCAAAGGAGGCTCTGATCAAGTGGGTCCTGGTCAAATGGTCCCTGAACAAAGTGGTCCCTGCTCAAAGTGAGCCTTGGAGAAAATGAACCCTGGTCAAGTGGGCCCTGGTCAAAGTAGGCCCTGGTCAAATGGCCCCTGAACAAGGTGGTCCCTGCTCAAAATGAGCCCCGGTGAAAATGAGCCCTGGTCAAAGTGGGCTCTGGTCAAATGGTCTCTGAACAAGGTGGTCCCTGCTCAAAATGAGCCCTGGTGAAAATGAGCCCTGGTCAAGTGGGCCCTGGTCAAAGTAGGCCCTGGTCAAGTGGGCCCTGGTCAAGTGGGTCCTGGTCAAAGGACACCCTGGTCAAGTGAGCCATGGTCAAAGTGGCCCCTGGTCAATGTGYCCCCTGGTTGTGGATCTGGGCCAAATAGGCCCTGGTCAAGTGGGCCCTGGTAAAAGTGAGCCCTGGTCAAAGAGAGCCCTGGTCAGGTGGGCCCTGGTKAAAGGACACCCTGGTCAAYTGYMCCCTGYWCAAYGTGGRCCCTGSTCAAAGTGAGTCCTGATGAAAGTGAGCCCTGGTCAAGTGGGGCCCTGGTCAAAGTGGGCRCTGGTCAAGTGGGCCCTGGTCAAGTGGGTCCTGGTCAAAGGACACCTTGGTCAAGTGAGCCCTGGTCAAAGTGGCCCCTGGTCAATGTGGCCCCTGGTTGTGGGRCCGGGCCAAATGGGCCCTGGTCAAGTGGGCCCTGGTAAAAGTGAGCCCTGGTCAAGTGGGCCCTGGTCAAAGGACACCCTGGTCAAGTGAGCCCTGGTCAAAGTGGCCCCTGGTCAATATGGCCCCTGGTCAAGTGGGCCCAGGCCAAATGGGCCCTGGTCAAAGAGAGCCCTGGTCAAAGTGGGCCCTGGTCAAGTGGGCCCTCATTAAAAAAATGCTTGGAACTGCTGTCTTATATGTATGATCATGTTCCTTACCCTCCCTCTGCTTCTTTCCAAGTGACTTGCTCCTCAGTCAACAACATTCTGCTTCCAAGATGGAGTGCATCTACACTGCAGAACTAATGCACTTTTTCCACTTCCTACCAGCTGTTAGGAATTGTGGGAGTTGAAGTCCAAAACACTTGGAGGGCCAAAGTTTGCCCATGCCTGCTGAACAGTGTGGAAGCCCTCCTTGCCTTTATACAGATGAGCAGAGACTCTCCACACTGTTGAATGAATGCATTTTGGCACCACTTTAATTGCCATGTCTCCGTGCTCTGGAAGCATAGGAGCTGTAGTTTTACGAGGTCTTTCCCTGCCAAAGAGTGCTGGCGCCTATACAACTCCTAGGATTTCATAGCATTGAGCCCTAGCAGTGAAAGGGGTGTCAGATTGCACTCATTCTACATTGAGTGGAAGACAGGAGTAATTTGCAGCCTAAGGGTCACCTGAAGATGGCCACTACTCACTGGGAAGATCCTACCTGAAGCGAAGGTCTGGCAAAGGCATTCCAGGTAATAGGTGATGGACTCGTCCCCCAAAGTGTGACTTCCAAACTTGAAATATTCCAGATAGGCCTGAGGGTTGAACTCCTTCTGGTAAACGTCCCCGCCAGTGAATTCTTCCATAGTGTTGTTTTCAGCTTTTCTGGAAAGCGAATGTGTCGTTTCCCTGCTCCAGGCCTCTTGTTCCCAATGCCTCTTTCAACTCACTTCTTGGCAGCTGAATCTCTGTGGACTGGCTTCAGGCCAGTAACCCTTTCCTCCGTTGAGAAAACCAGCTCAAAGGTTGGTATCTCCTTCCAAAGTCCGGTTTCTTGAGATAAATGACATTTGCAAATCATATCCAGTCTGGTCACGCACAGCCCTCAGTGGCACAGTGGGTTAAACCCCTGTGCCGGCAGGACTGAAGACCAACAGGTCACAGGCTTGAATCCGGGAAGAGCACGGATGAGCTCCCTCTCTCAGCTCCAGCTCCCCATACGGGGACATGAGAGAAGCCTCCCACAAGGATAATAAAACATCCGGGCAACGTCCCCTGAGCAACGTTCTTGCAGATGACCAATTCTCTCACACAAACAAACAAAGTCACGGTGGTTTTAAAAAGTTGGAAAAGGTGTCCCAGAGTCCATGGAGTTCTTATGAGCTGGCGGCCAGCGTTGGAGATCAAGATCCACTGAGAGAACTACAGATCCCTCTGCTCCAAGGACCAAGGCAGCCTGCCAACATCTTGAGATCCTATGGGTTGACTGTGACAGTTTCCCAAAATCAGCAGGTTCCTTGGACATCCACAAAATGGTGGCAAAGAGGCAACGTCTTTGGAAAACAGCTGAGCTCCAGGTTGGGGTTATTCTCAGGGCAGAGGGGGCAGCAGAGCAAAACTGAGATAGCCATTAGTCTTAGAAATCTCCCAGGAGAAGAATGACACCACTTTTGAAGAGACCCACTGACTCGCGGATACGGGCCCCCGAGGTGGTTTCCGTATCCGCGGTTTAAGGGAACGCCGTTTCGGCCTCCCCGGGATGCGAAAATTGCATCCCAGGAGGGCCGGCAGGCATCTGCAGCCCGGGAGAAGAAAGGTTTATGAAAAGAGAGGTTTGAGGCAATGAAAAGACACAAAGTAACACTATGGAGAGGGAAAAGGTTACAATTAATGGATACTTTTATTGGGGGGATTAGTTACAGTGTTAGGAAGGGGGGAAGAGAAGTAATGAGAAGGCTTCTGAGTTGCAGCTGCTGCTGTGTCCATGTTCATGCAGGTTGGCCCAAGCGCGGCAATGGAGAACTGAGGAACTCCCTGCTGCAGGTCAGATCAGCTTGAAGGCAGGGAGTTCCGGGATCGGCCTCATCCGGACTCCTCAGGTGAAGCGTATGGATGGCCCTCCAGATATTGACCGCCCATCGGACCAAGAGCTGGACGGGGGAGAGGCGGAAGTCCTGGCCCACTGAAATGATCACCACCGTGTCTTGGTTGCCAGCCACGCTGTTGATGTCTCTTGTGATGTAGCTGTGGTTCTTCATTGTGTAGCCATACTTGCCAACGTAAGGGTGACTTCTAGACAAACCCATGGCCAGCAATTTCTGAAGCTTTTCTTTTGGGTAGATGTCTAGAAATCAAAGTGCTATTCGGGGAAACAGGAACAGAGACTGTTATAAGTGAGAAAGTATTAACACTCGCTCGTATATAGAGCCATTTGGGACAGAGGGAACCCTGTGGTGCAAAACTATTATCTTGTTTTCATGTAGCTCTGCTGCCACCCACCTGTTATATGACTCTCTGCAACTGAGACTCCATTCACATTTTTTCTGAACAAAGTTCAGCCCAGATTAAAGACTGAAAGACACTTATTTGGTGAACAGAAAGGATTCTGGGTGTCTTGCACAGATGTGCAGCATAATTCCTTTTAACCCATTTTGTTTGTTTTAGTAAAGAAAAGGAGGAGGATAAGGATAAGGATAAGGACCAGGAGTAGAAACAGGAGCAGGAGAAGGACCAGGAGTTGAAGCAGGAGAAGGAGAAGGAGAGGATGAAGGAGACGAAGAAGATATCAAGGAGGAGAAGGAGGAGAAGGAGAAGAAGGGGAAGGAGAAGGAGCAAGAGAAGGAGGAGAATCATAGAATCATAGATTCATAGAATCATAGAATCAAAGAGTTGGAAGAGACCTCATGGGCCATCCAGTCCAACCCCATTCTGCCAAGAAGCAGGAATATTGCATTCAAATCACCCCTGACAGATGGCCATCCCCTCTGTTTAAAAACTTCCAAAGATGAGCCTCCACCACACTCCGGAGCAGAGAGTTCCACTGCTGAACGGCTCTCACAGTCAGGAAGTTCTTCCTCATGTTCAGATGGAATCTCCTTTCTTGTAGTTTGAAGCCATTGTTTCGTGTCCTAGTCTCCAGGGAAGCAGAAAACAAGCTTGCTCCCTCCTCCTTGTGGCTTCCTCTCACATATTTATACATGGCTATCATATCTCCTCTCAGCCTTCTCTTCTTCAGGCTAAACATGCCCAGCTCCTTAAGCTGCTCCTCATAGGGCTTGTTCTCCAGACCCTTGATCATTTGAGTCGCCCTCCTCTGGACACAGTCCAGAAGCAGAAGGAGGAGCAGGAGGAGAAGCAGGAGAAGGAGCAACAGCAAGAGGAGGAGGAGGAGGAGGAGGAGGAGCAACAGCAGGAGAAGGAGCAGGAGAAGCAGGAGAAGAAGGATCAGGAGAAGGAGCAGGAGAAGGAGGAGGATCAGGAGCAGGAGAAAAAGCAGGAGAAGGAGCAGGAGAAGGAGGTGGAGCAGGAGAAGGAGCAGGAGAAGGAGCAAGAGCAGCAGGAGAAGGATCAGGAGAAGGAGCAGGAGGAGGAGGAGGAGCAGGAGAGGGGGAAGAAGTAGGAGCAGGAGCAGGAGCAGGAGCAGGAGCAGGAGCAGGAGCAAGAGGAGGAGGAGGAGGAGAAGGAGCAACAGCAGAAGAAGGAGCAGGAGCAGGAGAAGGATGGCCTTCCAACTATCATCGGCCGAGAGGTGCAGCCAAAGAATTTTGGTTGGCCTTCGGGATCCTTGGTGCACGCATGTCCTTGGAGGTGGACAGAGGGAGTGACACCCAGCTGAGGGACTAGGTTCACTAGGTGGCCATTCACTCATGAGTTAACAACAACAACAACAACAACAACAACAACTGTAGTCTTATATCCTGCGTCCATCTCCCCGAAAGGACTCGGGGTGGCTTATATGGGGACCAAGCCCAATATAAACAAAGGTTACAAAGTAACACAATTAAAAACAGTAAAATTTATTAAAACAGTAAAACCAATAAAAGCATAAACCAAACATCAAACAACCAGTAGCTGAGAAAATTGGGCATGTGCAGATTTGAGAAGAAAGGGGCAGGGCAAGGGCTTGTGCAAATGCAAACTGTAGGGCCGGGGCTGGGAATAAAGTGCTAGAGATCCAACCAAAAGATTAGAGATAGGCAGACTTAATCAGTAGCTAGACCATTATTCATTGGAACATCCACATTGGAACATCCACGTCTTCAAGTCTTTCTGGAAGACCAACAGCTCCGACCATCAGGAAGTACTTCCTAGTGTTTAAGTGGGATCTCTTTTCATTGTATCCCGGTCTCAAGAACAGCAGAAAACAAGGTTTCCCCTTCCTCAATGTGAACTCATTTTGGAATATTTAAATAGGGCTCTCGTGTCCCCTTTTGCTCAGCCTTTTTTTCTCCAGACTAAACATACACAGGGTTGTTGTAGGTTTTTCCGGGCTATATGGCCATGTTCTGGAGGCAATTTTTCTCCTGACGTTTCGCCTGCATCTATGGCAAGCATCCTCAGAGGTAGTGAGGTCTGTTGGAAGTAGGAAAAATGGGTTTATATATCTGTGGAATGACCAGGGTGAGACAAAGGACTTTTGTCTGCTGGGGCTAGGTGTGAATGTTTCAGCTGATCACCTTGATTAGCATTCAATGGCTTGGAAGTGCCTGGGGGAATCTTTTGTTGAGAGTGATTTTATGTGCCTGTTTGTTTCCCCTCTGTTGTTTTGCTGTTGTAATTTTTGAGTTTTTTAATACTGGTAGCCAGATTTTGTTCATTTTCATGGTTTCTTCCTTTCTGTTGAACTTGTCCATCAGCCAGAGCAGAGCACCTGATGAACCAACCTGGACACAGCATATTATTTGAGAACACAGAAGTGCTGGACCACTCTCACAACCACCATGTCAGACTACACAGAGAAGCCATTGAAATCCACAAGCATGTGGACAATTTCAACAGAAAGGAGGAAACCATGAAAATGAACAAAATCTGGCTACCAGTATTAAAACTCAAAATTACAACAGCAAAACAACAGAGAGTAAACAAACAGGCACATCAAATCACCTCTCAACAAAAGATCCCCCCAGGCACTTCTAAGCCATTGAATGCTAATCAAGGTGATCAGCTGAAACATTCACAGCTAGCCCCAGCAGACAAAAGTCCTTTGTCCCACCCTGGTCATTCCACAGATATATAAACCCTTTTTTCCTAGTTCCAACAGACCTCACTACCTCTGAGGATGCTTGCCATAGATGCAGGAGAAATGTCAGGAGAAAAATTGCCTCCAGAACATGGCCATATAGCCCGGAAAAACCTACAACAACCCAGTGATTCCAGCCATGAAAGCCTTCGACAATACATTAAACATGCACAGCACCCTAAGTTTTCCTCAGAGGGGTTCAAGGCTTCCAGACCTAGAATCCCTCTGAGGTCTTAACATACATAATTTAAAAACATATGAATCTCACTCCAGACCACAGAATCCGGAGGGTGAACTTTCTGAGTGTTGTACGCAACTGTCATGTCCCATGCGTCAATGAAACCCACATTGAGATCTTGGAAAAGTTCTTTTGTGACAAGGTTTTGGACGTAGCCATGGAAGTCGCTAAGCTTCTCCTGGTCGCCGTCCATCTCCCGGGTGTTCTCTCCCTTGATGAGGACCCTGGTGCCTGGGCTCCTCAGGAGTAAGCGCTGGATGGCGTGGTGGACATTGATGGCTCTTTGGATGAAGAGCTCCAGGGGGAAGGGGCGGAAGTGCTGGCCCAAGGAAATGACAAGCGCCGTGTCTCTGTCCCCAGCGATGGTGTCAATATCCCGAGCGATATAGGAGTGATCCTTGACGGAGTACTCATGGGTTCCAATGAAAGGGTGCCCGTGTTTTTTCCACTGGATCAGAATGTTCTTGGCAGTGTCGACAGCAATTAATTTCTGTGGCCTTCCACTATTATGGATATTAAGATAGACAAGGCCTAATGGAGAAGAAAACTGAATTAGGTTTTCACCATCTAATCATAGCAACCTCTCAGGGAACCTTATGGTTTCAGGAACGCTGGCTGAGAAACCTTGGATTGTACGAGGGGTATTTTTTAAGTAAGGTCCGTTTTGTTGTAGACACTAGTAGTTTGCGCGCATACCGCAACGAGCGCATGCGTCGTGTATCGGCATGCCTCGGGAACAACCGTGCTCAGTTTCCGCTCTGTAGCTCACCTGCACGGTTCTGTTCTGTGCTTTGAAAATGTTTAAGACTATCAACTCACCCTCCACATGTGAGGTTCGCTCAGTGATACGGTTTTGGTCAGCAAGGAACCTGCCTGCTGCAGAAATTCATCGACAGATTTGTGGAGTGTACGGTGAAAGCAAAATGCATAAGTTATGAGTGAAAGCAAAGTGCATAAGCGGGTACGACAATTCAAAGATGGCCATGACAACGTCCATGATGAGGACTGCTCCGGTCGCCCTTCTTTGTTTACAGACGATTCGGTGGCTTCAGTTGAAGCGAGGATTCGTGAGAACAGGTGCTTCACAATAACAGGTCTCTCAAACAAATTTCCTCATGTGTTGAGATCAGTGCTTTACAACATTGTTTCTGAACTCCTAAAGTTTAGGAAACTGTGCTCCCGTTGGGTCCTGAAACTCCTAACAGAGGACCACAAAAACCAAAGATTTGAGTGTGCGATCAAATCAAATCGTCTGTAATCAAACAAGGGCGACCGGAGCGGTCCTCATCATGGACGTTGTCACGGCCATCTTTGAATTGTCGTCCCGCACTTTGCTTTCACTCATAACAGTCTCACCGTACACTTCACAAATCTGTCGGTGAATTTCTGCAGCAAGCAGGTTCCTTGCTGACAAAAACCGTATCACTGAGGGAACCTCACATGCGGAGAGTGAGTTGATAGTCTTAAACATTTTGAAAGCACAGAACAGAACCGTACAGGTGAGCTACAGAGCGGAAACTGAGCACAGTTGTTCCTGAGGCATGCCGGTACACGACTCACGCGCTCGTTGCGGTATGCGCGCAAACTACTAGCGTCTACAACAAAGCGGACCTTACTTTAAAAATACCCTTTGTACTATAGTAAACAATGACCAAATTGAGAACCTACTGGTCAATCTTTTCTTGAGGTTCTCCATCCATTGGCGCACAGTTGAGTCTCCCATGAAATAGACCAGCTTGTCTTTCAAGCATGCCTGAATCTGCTCCAAAGTGTTGAAAAGGGACATGTTGCAAAAGAGAGGATACCACTGGTTTTGCCACAGGAAGCCACTGGGAAATTGGGGGCTCATCCCAAACTGACATTTCTCACTTGCCTTGGTCTGGTTTCCTGGAAAAAGGAAGCAAGGGTGAATAGGCTGAAAAGGGACTGCATGAGGTCATAAAGGACCCCACTGACAAAGAAGGTGTCTGTAGCCACCATCAGAATCCCAAAGCCCTCAGAAGCAAAGACTAGGACGTATACAACACCCCAGGAAAGAAAGAATGTCTATTGTTCATACCAATCCAGATATCATCCAACATCAGGAAATGCCACTCACCTCCACATTGTAGCACATGAATTTCCTCAAACATGTGAGGGATCTCAACTCCAACGTTGGACCTTCAAGAAAAAGGAGAATGGCTATGGGGTGAAAGAAAGGATCAGGAACCCAACAAGAGCACTTTCATTAAAACCCAACCCTTGGGATTGCATGAGCCTATTTGGGAAATGATGTTGACTTGAGTATATCTTGGTCAGCGCTGCCTCTGGAAAATCCTGCAAATCTCTTGGGAAGACATGCGGACAAATGTCAGTGTGCTGGAAGAAGCAAAGACCACCAGCATTGAAGCAATGGTCCTCCACCATCAACTCCACTGGACCGGCCACATTGTCCGGATGCCCGACCACCGTCTCCCAAAGCAGTTGCTCTACTCCGAACTCAAGAAAGGAAAATGGAATATTGGTGGACAGGAAAAGAGATTTAAAGATGGGCTCAAAGCCAACCTTAAAATCTCTGGCATAGACACTGAGAACTGGGAAGCCCTGGCCCTTGAGCGCTCAAGCTGGTGATCAGCTGTGACCAGCAGTGCTGCAGAATTTGAAGAGGCACGAATGGAGGGTGAAAGAGAGAAACGTGCCAAGAGGAAGGCGCATCAAGCCAACCCCAACCGAGACTGCCTTCCCCCTGGAAACCAATGCCCTCACTGCGGGAGAAGATGCGGATCAAGAATAGGGCTCCACAGTCACCTACGGACCCACAAGAATACTGTCTGAAGATCCCAGCGTGCACACCAAAAGTCACCTCTTCTCTTGACTTTCTCTTCAGCCATTGGGACCAAGAGAGAGAGAGAGAGAGAGAGGTGAGATGCCCACCTTTCCTGAAGGTAGGCGCAAAAACAAAGGAGGGAGCGGAGGTGGGAGATACCTCCAGCCGGAGAGGGTCTCTCTCTCTCTCTCTCTCTCTTGGTCCCAATGGCTGAAGAGAAAGTCAGGAGAAGAGGTGACTTTTGGTGCGCACGCTGGGGTCTTCAGACACGCCTCCGGACCCGAAGCGGGCCAGACACGGCGGCTCCGCCCCTTGGCCCACCCGTGGATTGGGGAGAGGAGTGGAGGTGGGTGGAGTGCCGGGGGATCGGGAAAGGGAGCCGGTCATGGGGAAGGGATTGAACGCAGAGAACGAATGAGCACCGGTTCTGCTTGCGTACCCGGTGGCCGGGTGGAGCGGGAACGAGAGGGGCTAGGCGAGGCTCAAGGGCCCGGCCCCTTTGGGAAGAGGATCGCCGGCAGCGAGGCAAGAAAGCCGAGGCTCCCCCCAGACTGCTAGGGCTGTTGTGAGCTGAGGGGGTGCTCCTCAAGTGGCGGTCGAGGGGCATTTACAGAGGAGCCTCTACAAAAAAAAGTGTTCTGCGACCACTTACTTTGCGTAATGGAAGAGCCGCCCCTGGCCACAGCAATGCATGGCGGGTACAGCTAGTATTAAAATAAAATATTGACTGAATTGATTACTAAAAATCAACAAGTTGATTATTAAAAAGTAAATACCTCTCCAAAAGACTCCGTTCCAAGTCTGTGAGATAGGAGATGGGTTTATCGTAGGATTTCAGTTGCACTAAAGCTGCACATGGGACATGCTTTGGTTTGAGGCAGAAGAAGGCTTCTTGGTCATGCTCATCTAGATACTCGCACAGTTCTGCTTTTCTGGTCATGTTAAATCCACATTCAGCGGTGACTTCAGATGTTCCATTCAAAAATTTGCCTGTGAAACCAATTTTGTCGTAGCCTTTCTTCCTCGCTGCCCAGAGGGCGGAAACGCCTTCACTGGGGTGGATGAGCAAGAGGGAGACTCTGGCTTCCCCCTCCCAAAATAAGGTGAAATTGACCAGGAATGTCCCGTTCCCAAAGTCTTTGATGTTCCCAGACGCTCCGGCCTTGAGGCTCGAGGAATAGATCCTTGCTCTCAAGAAGTCTCCTCCATACTTCTTCCTATTTCCCAAGCGATCGTACAAATCCAGCTGCACCACCAAGTCTTCTCCAACGCAGTAAGAGTCCTTTGGGTTCAGGACGGTTGTTCTGCTGTTCTTAGCACTGGTGGTCTTATTAATATCACTAAAAGTCACATGGGGCATCAACTGGTCCAGCTTTGCCAGGATTTCTTCTCTTTCTGTCTTCTTTTTTATCCACTCCATTCTGATCTGGTTCAAGAGTCCATCTTCCAGGGGAAAATATCCACTGCTGCCATCTTTGATTAAAAGGGTTTGAAAGAGATTATTTTAAAGAGAAAAAAACCCCCAACAACATGCAATCTAATGCAATTTGTTACCTGAAATACATACCTGAAACAGAGACTGGTTTGGTCTTGAAGCTTTGGGAGCACTTATGTATATCTACAGCTTGCTGCTCAGTTGCTGCTTGACTTGTGGTCCTTCCCATCTGGGATGCAGAGTGACGACATAATGACAAGGAAAGAGCATAACTCAATGGGAGGACTTATTGCCTTTCCCTGCATTGTCCCAGGTTCCAACCCTTGGCTGGTCATTTGTGTACACAGATGACCAGCCACTGCCAGAAGGGACAGAGAGTTTCATCTATGCTGATGATCGTGCCATTACTGCTCAAGCAGGGAGCTTTGAGATGGTTGAACAGAAGCTCTCTGAATCTCTAGGTGCTCTTACTGCCTATTACAGGGAAAACCAGCTGATCCCTAATCCATCTAAAACACAGACATGTGCCTTTCACCTTAAGAACAGACAAGCATCCCGAGCTCTGAGGATTATTACCTGGGAAGGAATCCCACTGGAGCATTGCAGCGCACCCAAATACCTGGGAGTCACTCTGGACCGTGCTCTGACCTACAAGAAGCACTGCCTGAACATCAAGCAAAAAGTGGGTGCTAGAAACAATATCATACGAAAGCTGACTGGCACAACCTGGGGATCACAACCAGACAGTGAAGACATCTGCCCTTGCGCTATGCTACTCTGCTGCTGAGTACGCATACCCAGTGTGGAACATATCTCACCACGCTAAAACAGTGGATGTGGCTCTTAATGAGACATGCCGCATTATCACGGGGTGTCTGCGCCCCACCACTGGAGAAATTACACTGCTTAGCCGGTATTGCACCACCTGACATCCGCCGGGAAGTAGCAGCCAATAGTGAAAGGACCAAGGCAGAGACATCTCCAGCTCATCCCCTGTTTGGGTATCAGCCAGCACGTCAACTTAAATCAAGAAATAGTTTTCTTAGATCTACAGAGACACTCGCTGGAACACCTCAGCAAGCGAGAGTTCAAAAGTGGCAGGCTCAAACCCAGCACCTCAATCCGTTGGTGATACCAGATGAGAGACTCCCCCCTGGGCACACAGAAGACTGGGCGACTTGGAAGGCGCTGAACAGACTGCGCTCTGGCACCACAAGATGCAGAGCCAACCTCAAGAAATGGGGCCACAAAGTGGAATCCACGACATGCGAGTGTGGAGAGGAGCAAACCACTGACCACCTGCTGCAATGCAACCTGAGCCCTGCCACATGCACAATGGAGAACCTTATAATAACACCAGAGGCACTCCAAGTGGACAGATACTGGTCAAAGGACATCTCATCAACTACCAAATTTGCAAAATTTGTGTTTTTTAATCTGTTTGTTTGTTTTGTCCTGTTAGAAATGTAATACAATGGTATGGTTGCTGATGACACGATAAATAAATACCCTTGGCTCTCTGTTTTATTCAACATTAATAGGAAATAAAATCCAGGGAAGACCAAAAGCTGAATTCCTAGCAGAACTTGGAAGAGCTATATTTTGAATTGTAACTTCCAGGATCCCCAAACACAAGTCATTGTTGCTAGAGGATGCTGGGAGATGGGACCTGGTGTGGTATGGAGGAACTTCATACCACACAGTTCTGTTGTCATTGACCGATTACTACCTGGTCAGGAAGTCCTCTAGGACTTCAAATCTCTGCAGGGGTGGGAGACCGATTAAGATGTTTTACCCCAAGAGGCTTATGGATCCGGATGGATTCCTGATGGCTCTTGGGGATTTTCCTGTCACCTTGGCATGAGTTCTGGCTGACTTCTGGAATGGGGAAATGTCTAGGGTGGTGGACGCAAAGTCTCCTGAGCATCCCTTCTTATGGAGTGGAGCCAAACTGGCCCCTGGTTTTCCAAGGTGTTGGCAGTGATGAAGCAATTGGGATGGGACTGGAGGAATGTACCCAGAAGATGGTGCTGGGAAATTCCTCTTCAAACCCCTGACCATGGTCCTGTGGGATTCCTCAGGGCTCTGTCTTGTCCCTCATCATGCTGTTCAACATATACTTGCTGAACTGAACACTATTTGTGTCTTAATATTTGCACTAAAATGTGCGATGCAAAGCCAGAAAGTTATTTTTGTTCCTTACAATATGTGCTGTCTGAGAGAGGTCAGTTGGAGTTTTGGAGTTCAGTGCCACCTATATGTGGATGACACCCAACTCTACTATTCCTTCTCACCTAAAGCCATGATGTTGCTGTTTTCAACAGGGCATGGATTCCTACCTTGTAGCTGTTTCTGTATGAAATGTAGATGATGCCCATGGCTGCACCAAGAACAAAGACTATGAAAAGATGCTTCCAATTGGACATGGTAGGCATCAAAGCACCCAAAGCATCTCTCTGAAAACAAAACAAAACAGAGAATCCAAAAGCATTCAGAATTTCCCTGCCAGTGGTTTTAATTGCAGTGGTTTTAACATCCAAGGTTGGGTGTTTTGGTATTTGTAATCCAAAGACAACCTTCCCAAAGCTTAGGACATGAAATGGGGTTGAAAGAAGCCAAACCATATATCAGAACATTTGCTTGTGCTCTGAAGTGGTGATGCAAGTGCAAGCTAAGAAGGGAACGTTTCCCTCGGTGATCTTCCCAAAAGGAAATAATTACCACCTTCTTTTGGATCCATGTGTTGGGTCTGTTATTGATGGACATTCCTCGAATTTGGCCACTGCTTTCTGCGGTCATAAGATGTTCTCCAAGGAAGCTGCAATTCCAAAAATATGGGAATCACCAACCTTCATAATAATAATAATAATAATAATAATAATAATCCTTTATTTATACCCCACTACCATCTCCCGAAGGACTCGGTGCGGCTTACAAGAGGCCAAGCCCAAATACATTAGTAAAAACAGCAACAATAGCAATACAGACAATACATAAACTCATAAGCAAAGCAATAAACAGTAACAATAACACCACGACACATTAAAAACCTATGGCAGGGCCAAATATAATAATAATTATTTTTTAAAAATGCTGGGCATGACAAGGTGGCATATAACTAGGGTAGGTATTTGGAGAGAGATGGAGCGAGCAGACAATCCTAGATCATTAGTAAAGTGCAATTAGGGACATGTTGCTTAGGGTTTCCTTATTCTGGGAAGGCACACTGGAACAACCATGTTTTCAGGCTCCTCTTAAAGACTGCCAGAGTTGGGGCATGCCTAATGTCCTTGGGGAGCGAGTTCCAGAGTCGAGGGGCCACCACCAAGAAGGCCCTGTCCCTCGTCCCCACCAATCGCACTTGCGATGGAGGTGGGAGTGTGAGCAGGGCCTCTCCAGATGATCGAAGAGATCGTGTGGGTTCGTACACAGAGATGCGGTCACGCAGGTAGGCGGGTCCCAAACCTTTAGGGCTTTGTAGGTAAGCACCTACACCTTGAATAGAGACCGGAAAATGAACGGCAGCCAATGGAGCTCCTTAAACAGGAGGGTTGACCTCTCCCTGTAAGGAGCACCAGTTAACAACCTGGCCACCGCCCGTTGGACCAGTTGAAATTTCCGGGCCGTTTTCAAGGGTAGCCCCATGTAGAGTGCATTACAGTAATCCAATCTGGAGATGACTAAAGCATGGACCACCCTGGCCAGATCCGCCTTCATGGGGTACGGTCGCAGTTGGCGCACAAGTCTTAATTGTGCAAAGGCCCTCCCAGCCACCGCCGACGCCTGAGCTTCAAGTGTAAGTGATGAGTCCAGGAGGACACCCAGACTGCGGACCTGTGACTTCATGGGGAGTGTAACCCCGTCCAACACAGGTTGCCACTCTATACCCCAATCCGGTTTACGATCAACCAGGAGGACCTCTGTCTTGTCGGGATTAATCTTCAGCTTGTTCGACCTCATCCAGATAGCCACAGAGGCCAGGCACTCATCCAGCACCCGAGGGGCTTCCTTGGAGTTAGGTGGAAAGGAGTAGTAGAGTTCATGGTCATTTGTGCCCTCTCTCCATTTCCTGACCTCGGTATGGGGCACATGAAACTTCAGATCTACCAACCAATCCATCAATCAATTGGCTTGATTACCTGCAAATATTTTGATCCTCCAGGTCTTCTGCTTCCATCTACAACTGTCCTTTTGAACCCTTCTTTTCCCCACTGCTTTCACAGATTATTGAGTACAGATTCTTTGCTCTTGGAAGATGCCCTGTGTTCTTCTCTAACCAGGAAGCCAAGCGATTCTGTAGATAAGGCTCAGCTCTGTCTCAGTAAAAATAAGTATCACCCATCCAATCATCATGCAGAAAAAACAGAGCGAAGAAAAGATAGTTTTGGTTTTGCAGGGGTCACGTGGATTGGAGAAATGCTGGAAAGTCCAAAAAAACCCCCCCAAAAAACCCCAGTCCAGAAAAATGCTAGATGTTCCCTAAATGTAGTGTCAAGTCTTTGGGACATAAAAGCAGCCATGGCTTTCAGAGCCTTCACTCACTTTTCCAAATGAGGACGAGGGATAGAGAGACTCTCTTTTCCTGGAACCCAGATCGGATAAGTAGATTCACAGCAATCTTTAGCCACTAGGCATTCAAATCAAATCAAATCATTTATTTCGGTCATTGACCAGCACAGGAAATAGTCACATTTTCATACAAACTTGGTATGTTTGGTACATTAAAAATATAAATATAACTACTGAAGCTGGGGTGAAAATTGCTGGAAGAAACATTAACAACCTCGGATATGCAGATGACACCACTCTGATGGCCGAAAGCGAGGAGGAGCTGAGGAGCCTTCTAATCAAGGCAAAAGAAGAAAGCGCAAAAGCCGGGTTGCAGCTAAACGTCAAAAAAACCAAGATTATGGCAACAAGAATGATTGACAACTGGGAAATAGAGGGAGAAAATGGAGGCCGTGACAGACTTTGTATTTCTAGGTGCAAAGATGACTGCAGATGCAGACTGTGGCCAGGAAATCAGAAGACGCTTCCTTCTTGGGAGGAGAGCAATGTCCAGTCTCGATAAAATAGTAAAGAGTAGAGACATCACACTGGCAACAAAGATCCATTGCCTAGTCAAAGCCATGGTATTCCCTGTAGTCACCTACGGATGTGAGAGCTGGACCTTAGGGAAGGCTGAGCGAAGGAAGATCGATGCTTTTGAGCTGTGGTGTTGGAGGAAAGTTCTGAGAGTGCCTTGGACTGCGAGAAGATCCAACCAGTCCATCCTGCAGGAAATAAAGCCCGACTGCTCACTGGAGGGAAGGAGACTAGAGACAAAGTTGAAGTACTTTGGCCACATCATGAGGAGACAGCAAAGCCTAGAGAAGACAATTATGCTGGGGAAAGTGGAAGGAAAAGGAAGAGGGGCCGACCAAGGGCAAGATGGATGGATGGTTTCCTTGAAGTGACTGGATTGACCTTAAAGGAGCTGGGGGTGATGACGAACAACAGGGAGCTCTGGCTTGGACTGGTCCATGAAGTCACGAAGAGTCGGAACGACTGAACGAATGAACAACAACAAAGTCGCAGGGTGGCATTAGAAACGCATTGAGGGACCTGCAAGGCCCATCTCAGAAACTTGGACTGAACCAGCTCTAATGGGGCAAAACTGGGGAAGGGGCCCAGCTGAGCACCATACAAGAGTTGGGCTAATGACTTGGCTTCAAACAGCTTGAGCACAGCTGGGGTGAAGTGGCCCCCTCTTGACTTAAGATATTTAAGAATGGCCATTGAGCTCCCCTGCACAGTGTTGGATACTTGATCCCCATGAGCTCTTCTGCTACCATTAGATTGGAGAACTACACCTAGATATTTGAAGGATGTAACTTGTTCAATTTTATGACCATCTATGCTCCAAGAGTAAGTCCTGGGCCTATTAGCAAAAGCCATGATTTTGGTTTTATTGTAATTAAGTTGGAGCTGATCTGCATTCTTTCGGTTTGCATTTCAGGCAAGCAGGTGCATCTCTTTCCCAGAACAAGGCATTCAGCTCTCACTGTTGCCGCAGTTTGACTTCAAGGCATTACTGCTCTATGGTGATCCCAAGGGCAACCTTCTTGAGAAGATTGGTTCAGAGTGGGCTTGCCTTTGCATCCCTCTGAGGCTGAGAGTGTGTGACTTGTCTAAAGGTACCCAGAGTGGGTTTCCCAGGCCAAGCGGGGATTCAAACCCTGGCCTCTAGCATTATAGTCTCATGCTCCAACCACCGCATCACATTGGCTCTCAAAACATGCCTTTCCTGCATTGTGTAATAGGTCTGAGGGTGGGGTGCCTCCAAGTTAAAACACTAAAACAAGAACAGCCACTGAAATCTATATAAATAAAAATGTAATGTTCGTTTGTGGGATTAACAGAACTCAAAAACCACTGGGGGAATTTTCACCAAATTTGGACACAAGACACCTAACAACCCAATGCATGTCTTTCACTCAAAAAAAATGATTTTGTCATTTGGGAGTTGTAGTTGCTGGGATTTATAGTTCACCTACAATCAAAGAGCATTCTGAACCCCACCAACAATGGAATTGAACCAAACTTGGCACACAGTTCTCCCATGACCAACAGAAAATACTGGAAGGGTTTGGTGGGCAGTGTCCTTTGGTTTTGGAGTTGTAGTTCACCTGCATCCAGAGATCACTGTGGACTCAAACAATGATGGATCTGGACCAAACTCTACAAGAATACTCAATATGCCCAAATGTGAACACTGGGTGTTTGGGGAAAATAGAATCTTGACATTTGGGAGTTGTAGTTGCTGGGATTTATAGTTCACCTACAATCACAGAGCATTCTGAACCCCACCAACGATAGAATTGGGCCAAACCTCCCACACAGAACCCGCATGTGGGCCACAGCAACACGTGGCGGGAGACGGCTAGTAAGACTAATAATCCCTAAAATATGTACAGACAAGGTTAACTGTGGGCCTAATATCAGTAGTAAAAAAAAAGGTCTCAATACAGAGCCACATCTTTCCCTTGGCATCTCCAGTGGTGGCACCAAGTGGGCTTCATTGGGGAGCCATGGCTGAGAAAGCACCCCACTATTTCTCTCTGCAAAGGAGTCTCAAAATGGCTAGGAGAAACCCTCTTCTACCTTCTCCCATTTGCTGCTTTCGCCATCCCCAGCTGCTCCAAATAAAAGTTTCATCCAAGGTGTCAGTTGTTGCGGTTTATTAGTCCATACCAGTGGTTCTCAACCTTCCTAATGCCGCGACCCCTTAGTACAGGTCCTCATGTGGTGGTGACCCCCAACCATAACATTATTTTCATTGCTACTTCATAATTGTAATTTTGCTACTGTTATGAATTGTAATGTAAATATCTGATATGCAGGATGTATTTTCAGTCACTGGACCAAATTTGGCACAAATACTCGATACGCCCAAAATTT